CCCCCAGTGCACAAATTTTTGTGCACCGGGCCTCTAGTCTATAATAATAAAAGCATAATATGCAAATTGAAATAATGGCCGAACAACGGAACAACCGTCTGGAATACCTTCCAGACAGAGCCAGGGCTGCGAGGGCCGGCCAAGGCAGCCAGGGTGAAGGCCTTAAAAGCATAATATGCAAATTGACCAAATGGCCGAACAACGGAACAACCGTCTGGAATACCTTCCAGACAGAGCCAGGGCTGCGAGGGCCGGCCAAGGCAGCCAGGGCTGTGAAGGCCTAGTCTTGCACGAACTTCGTGCATCAGGCCTCTAATATATCCATAATTCTGTCTCAAGTACATGGTATGCTATGATTTGAAATGTTAATTTCAAATAATAATTCCTAGTTTATGAAATGGCTTCCTAGACTTCCTCTGTGTGAATATTCTTTGTTTTCTTTGAGAAATTTATGTTAGAAATTTATTTTTCTGGGATAAAATATCAGTTTCTTTTGTGCTTTAAAACCTATAGTGTGTGTGTTTTTTTTCTTTCAAAATGGTAGTTTAGTTTGAAATGTTTGTAAGAGTCATTGAATTTTATTATTTTGGGCATAAATCACATTAACAGATACTATGGTAGTTCAGCAATAGAGTTTAACTCATTGCCAAGTTATTACTGTCATATAAAATACAACATTTTCCCAGTACTTCTGCCATCTCTACTTTAACTGCTACCAGTAATTGAAATGCAGGTTGTAAAGAGTCAAAATAATGGTATTTGCTTTCCAGTGAAAAATTACATCATCATTTGCTGTATGTATGAACATGAGTTATATGCTAATATCTTTAAGTAAATATTGGTGCAATGATTTTTTTCATATTTTATATCAGCTCTGAATTAGAAATACATATTTTCATTTAGGGCATCTTTACATTTCATGGTTTAAGTATAGTAGGTATTAATAAATACAATTAGCCTGGTCGATGTGGCTGCGTAGATTAAGCATGGTCCCATGCACCTAGAGTTCACCAGTTCAATTCCCGGTCAGGACACATGTACTGGTTGCGGGCTCAATCCTTTGTAGGGGACATGCAGGAGGCAGCTGATGGATGTTTCTCTCTCATCGATGTTTCTATCTCTCTCCCTCTCCGTTCCTCTCTCTAAAAAAATCAATAAAAACATTTTTTTAAAAAAATTAGATAGGTAAATACAATTAAAGTTGTGTTTGTTCACCCTGCTCCAAAAGGTTATAATAATTTAAAATCATAAGACATTGTTTAAACTATGTTTAATTTACCAAGTACTTGACATAAAGTATGTCACTTGAGATTTTAATTTCTTATATACTTTTAAAATATATAAATGTTTAGTTTATAGAAGGTTAAAACTATAGTATTTAATTTACCAATTTAGATTATATCAAGATAATTCTTGTTTGTTTTTTACTGTAGGCCAAAATAGAATCTGATCGAGTCATTGGATCTGTAGGCAAAAAAGTAGTACAGGAAACTGGAATTAAAGTCCGAAGCCGATCACATGGTTTATCAATGGCCTATAGGAAAGATTTTCAACAACTCCTCCAGGGAATTTCAGAGGATGTTCCTCATAGACTGCTGGACCTGAACATGAAAGAATACACTGGGTTCCAAGTTGCTTTGCTCAATAAGGTAATAGTTACATGAATTTAGTACTGCTCTAGTTATATTTTGTTATATTATTGAATATAGATCAAATTTTCTGTTAACTGAAACTGTCCAAATTTTCAGAAGTACTTTTTATGCCTCTGTAGAATAATGATCATTATACTTTGATTGAATAATTGAATTTTAGAATTAAAACAGACAGCCCTGGCTGGTCTCAATTGGTTGGGCATTTTCCTGTGCACTGAAAGATTACCAGTTTGATTCCTGGTCAGGGCACATGCATGGGATGTGGTCTCAATCCCCCCGCTACATCACCCCCAGTGGAGAGCATGTAGGAGGCAGCAAATTGATGTTGCACTCTCACATTGATGTTTCTGTCTCTCTCTCTCTCTCTCTCTCTCTCTCTCTCTCTCTCTCTCCCTCTCCCCCTTACTCTTTCTAAAAATCAATAACTGTTCTTAAACAAAAACAAAACTGTCCATGGTGAGTGAATGAATGTATTGATAAAAAGTAAACCAACCCATTTATTTTATAAGTTAGTAAACAAAGGCTTAGAGATTGCTTAAAGTTATATAGCTAATGGTAGAGTCACTGTAATTTGGTACTTATGACCTTGGGTGCACAGTGTGATCCTAAAATGCTTTATGAGTACTTGCTATTAAAAAGATCTAATTCCAGCAGCTTTTATATATAAAAAAAAAAAAGCTGATTCTAAAATTCATATGGAAGTGTAAAGGTACTAGAATAGCTAAAACAGTTTTGGAAACGAATAAAGTTGGACAACTTGCACTATCTAATTTTAAAAATTACTGTGAAAAAAAAAACTAAATAAAAATAAAAATTACTGTGAAGCTATAGTGATCAACACTTTGTGTTGTTGGCATACGGATAAACATATAGATCAATGGAACAGAATATAGTCTAGAAGTAGGCCCTCACACAAATAGTCAATTAATTTTTAACAAGGTGCCAAAATAATTTAGTAAGTGAGAATACAATCCTTTCAACAGGTAGCACTAGAAAAATTGGATATCCATATTCAAATTACTTAACTTGACCCTTACCTAACATTATTTGAAGTGATCATGGTCTTAAGTGTAAGAACTAAAATTGTAAATTAAAAGAAAACTAGAGAAAATCATCATGAACTTGAGTCATGCATCATGAAAGAGTTCTAAAATACAAAACAAAAAGAACTTGATAAATTGAACTTCATTGAAATTATTAATTCAAATGAAACTTTGAAAAATTAAAAGGTGCCGAAACCGGTTTGGCTCAGTGGATAGAGCATCGGCCTGCGGACTGAAGGGTCCCAGGTTCGATTCCGGTCAGGGGCATGTACCTGGGTTGCGGGCACATCCCCAGTAGGAGATGTTCAGGAGGCAGCTGATTGATGTTTCTCTCTCATCGATGTTTCTAACTCTCTATCTCTCTCCCTTCCTCTCTGTAAAAAATCAATAAAATATATTAAAAAAAAAGAAAAAAGAAAAATTAAAAGGAACTTAAAACCTGGGAACAAAACACATATTGAATAAAGAACTTAATATCAAAATCCTTAAAGAACTCATAGAACCTAATAAAGAGATAAACATCCCCATAAAAAAAGGGCAAATATTTGAACAGATACTTCACCAGATAAGATATACAAACTTGAACAAGCACATGAAAAGACAGTCAACCTTATTGATCATTAGGGAAATGGAAATTAAAACCATAATGAGGTCCCATTTTATACCCACTAGAATAGCTAAAATTTAAAAGACTGAAAAATGTCAAGTTTTGGTGAGGATGTAGAGCAACTGGAACTCTCATATATTATATTAATATATGTAATATATATGTTAAATATATGTTGTTTGTATAGCAATTGTAAGTATCTACTCAAGATAAATGGGTAGATATTATTATTGATAATACTCCAAACTCTAAACAGTCCAATGTTGATCAACTAGTGAATAGATCAAAGATATGGCATATCCATATAATGAAATACTACTTTACTGTGATAAAAAAAGGAATAGACTACTGATACATGAACAACATGGATGAATCTCAAAAACATCATGCTCAGTAACAGAAGCCAGATAGAAAATTTTAGATATTGCAAAATTCCATTTATGAAATGGAATGTACAGAGACAGAAAGCAGATAAGTTGTTGCCTGGGGCTAATAATAGGAATTGATTACAAATGGGCACAAGGAACTTTCTGAAATGATGGAAGTATTCTAAAACTGGATTGCGGTGATTGTTTCACAACTATAAATTTACTAATACTCATCGAACTGTATACTTAAATAGGCAGTTGTATAGCATGTACATTATACATCAAAGCATAAGATAAAACTTTGGAAGTCTTTAAAATTTGGGTGTTTACTAGTACTTCTTTTAGTCAGAAAATATAATAAAATCTTGAGTTAGATGTAAATTTGGGATTATTTGGTTGAGCTCACTACCAAGTTTTTATCTTTTGGTTCCCAAAACAGTACTTTAAGATTGCATCACAACTCTATTCTGTTTTTTTAAGGTAATTAGTTAACTTGTATTTATTATTTTCAAACCTATGTGCAAGGTAGAAATTTTAGTCTCTTAATTCAGTGTTTATAAATAACTTTTGTCTTTGAATATTTTCAATAGGATTTAAAGCCACAGACATTTAGAAATGCATATGACATACCTAGACGGAATCTTTTGGATCACTTAACAAGAATGAGATTTAATCTTATGAAGAGCACCCGAAGATTTCTTAAAGGACAAGATGAAGGTTAGATTATGATTTTAATATTGGTATTTTTCTCTTTATATAAAAACACAATAGAGTAATACTGTAACTCTTAAAGAATTCTTGCACAATTCTCATTGTAAATTCAAACAAATTAAGTAAAAAGTCATCCCTGATTCTTTACAGTTCTTTCTGCCTTCACTATAGAATTTGCCCCAAATTCTATTCCCCAGATGTAACCACCTTTGTTAATAGCTTAGTTTCCTTTCTTGATTTTTCGTCCATTCACACATGCAGACACATAGACAAACTGAGTTATTTTATTATGATATACCAATATCTGATGGTTTAACTCTGGGTGGCCAATAATTGTACAATTCTAATATTTCCTTCAACCATATGCATGGCACTTACTACAAATCAAGTCAGATGAAAATTTAACCTTTTGCTATCTCTGATGTAAGCATTCTACTATATGTATATATCTATATCTATCTATCTATATATATATATATATATATATATATATATATATGAAAAAAAGTATATATATATATATATATATATATATATATATATATATATATATATATATATATATATATATATATATATATATATATATATATATATATATATATATATATATATATATATATATATATATATATATATATATATATATATATATAGATAGATATATATATATATATAT